CATCCATGGTATCCTCTGAGTATGTGCAGCCTCTCCATCGGGCACACCTGCAATAAACCCGGTGTCCACAGCCTCAGCTGCTTTACCTACAGGCTTTCCTCTCTTGACTCAGTCGAGAGGAGTTAGTGGGGAGGAGTGCTCCTTTTCCTTCCTGATTTTTATTTTCTTTTTTTGAAGAGATGTCTCACTCTGTTGTGAGGCTGGAGTGCAGTGGTGTGATCTCAGCTCACTGCAACCTCTGCCTCCCAGGTTTAAGTGATACTTCTGCCTCAGCTTCCCAAGTAGCCAGGACTACAGGTACATGCCACCATGCCCAGCTAGTTTTTGTATTTTTAGTAGAGACAGGGTTTCACTGTGTTACCCAGGATGGTTTCCATCTCTTGCCCGCCTCATCCTCCCAAAGTGCTGGGATTATAGGCGTGAGCCATCACGCCTGGCCTCCCTTCTTTCTTTCAGAGCTTGGTTTTTACTCTGACAGTTTTGTTGGGCTTTGGTTTTTTTTTTTTTTTTTTTAATGTGTACATATAGTCTCTTGTTGCTTAATGATGGGGATATGTTCTGAGAAATGTGTTAGGCAATTACGTCATTGCTTGAACATCATAGAGTGTACTCACATGAACCTAGGTGGTGTTGCCTGCCACACACCTATTATCCTGTGGTATCAACGTTGTGTATAGGCTGTGTCCTTGACTGCAGTGTCGTTGTGCGGCTTATAACTATACATACCTTTCCTTCTTTCCTGTTTTGATCTTCAGTCTCTTCTCATTTCCGTTTTACTCATTCTCTTTGTGAGCCAAAAATCTCCCCTCATTATAGTTGCAAAGCATATATGGCTAGTACTGTGACACTTCCCTGTCAAAGGATTTCAGAGCCACATTGTTTTGAAGCAAAGTGAGACTTGAATGCAGTGTTCTTAGTCCCCAGAGCCCTTGAAAGCTCTATAGACATGTTCAAACGGCCTCTCTCTCCAGCTAAACATGCTTTCCCTGAACAAATTTAACTAATAATTCACTAGCTAATAATGGTATATTATTATGAACTAGCAACAAAAAGTGAGTATTAAAATCTCATTTTTATTAAATGAGTGTTTTATTAAAAATGAAATGTATTAAAACAGAAAATTGAGCTAACAGAAGCAAGACATGAAGAAACATCCCCGAAGTTTGCTGTTAAATTATTTTATTTGGTATTTTTTCTTCCCCAAAATAGCCCCACCATGCTTTGCTTCAGGCATCAGGCTTCAAGAGAAGTGAATGTTGTTCATAAAAATTCCCATTCATGTGTTGTTTGGTTTCAGGTCTACTGTTGCTAGTAGACTGTGTATTGCAGAGGAACTTATTTTCTAGTATTTTCCGCACTGATCCACATGCATAGTATTTCATTTACATTGTGGGTCATACAGAATTTTGCAGACTAGTTCGAAAACCAACTTCTGTTTATAGCATTGACTCTTCAGGAAAATGCATTCTGAGTTCCAAACAATGAGCTTAGAACTTCAATTTTGAAACACAGGTCTGTTGTATATTGGGAGCTGCCTACCTTATAAGCCAATGAAGGGTTTTTACTTTGTATGATATTTAAATATGATCTAAATATGATTATAAGCATTTAGTTTAGCATACAATTTAAAAAAAAGCTTTGTGCTACTTAGCCAGGAGAGGTCTTAGTTTTGCTTTGACATCAGCCCATTGTCTTTTAATTGGTGATAGTCTGTGATGAAAAGGCCTACTGAGAAATGTTGAATCTTTTACAATTTTAATGCGGGGAATTTGGTAAAGACCAATTCAAAAAATATTACTTAGGGCCTGGCGCAGTGGCTCATGCCTGTAATTCCAGCACTTGGGGAGGCTGAGGCGGGTGGATCATGAGGTCAGGAGTTCAAGACCAGCCTGGCCAACATAGTGAAACCTGGTCTCTACTAAAAATTCAAAAATTAGCCGCGAGTCCCAGCTACTCGGGAGGCCCAGCTACCCAGGAGGCTGAAGCAGGAGAATTGCATGAACCCAGGAGGTAGAGGTTGTGGTGAGCTGAGACCACACCATTGCACTCCAGCCTGAGTGACAGTGTGTGTGTGTGTGTGTGTGTGTGTGTGTGTGTGTGTGTGTGTGTGTATTTTACTTAGAAGTCCATTGGAAACTTCAGGATTTTCTGAGGCTAAGTCATTTCAATTATGAAAGTATGATTCACTTTTGGAGGAGTTTTAAAAATTTCTGGAGGAGTTTTAAAACTTGTTAAAAAGTTTTTTTCAAAATCCTCTTTTTACAGGTATTAGTTTCTGGGAAAAGCTGGAAGACACATTTTCTAGTTAAGAAAGAAATAAAGGCAAATCAGTCATTTTCTAAGAGAATTTTAATTTTATAACCTCCTAGATTAATGTTGGTGTATAAATGTGTATGTCATGGAATGTGACATGAGAAGCATGTCATTTGTTAGGTGCTTATTTTGTTTTTATGACTATCGATTTTATAAATGATCTTCAGTTTGTTGAAGAATGAGTAAAACCACATAGTTATTACTTTCCAAATTTAGTCTTTTGGATGAAAACAACACATTCAAAGCCAAAGGACTTACAGTGGAATCTTAAGGCATTTGCTACCATAATTCTAATTTGGTATTTAAAAAATTATGTAATATTCCAAGCCTAGTGTGCTATGTTTGAATACATACATCAAAACTCTGTGGTTGCTTTCCTTCTTCTACTTGAGAAACTAAATTAATTTAAGGCTAGTTAGTGGAATATAATTGAACACTATTTTTATTTTTTGGGAGGAAGTCCTGCTCAGTCTTGCACTGGAGTGCAGTGGGGCTATCTTGGCTCACTGCACCTTCTGCCTCCCAGGTTCAATCGATTCTCCTACCTCAGCCTCCTGAGTAACTGGAATTACAGGTGCACACCACCACACCCAGCTAATTTTTGTATTTTTAGTAGAGACGGTATTTCGTCACTTTGGTCAGGCTGGTCTTGAACACCTGACCTCAGGTGATCCACCCACCTCAGCCTCCCACAGTGCTGGGATTATAGGTGTGAGCCACCACACCCAGCTGAACACTATTTTGATTTCCTTCCTACTTGATCAAGATCTTGCTCTTTTAAACATCATATGAAACCATTAGTATCCATTTTTACCGGGCAAAATAAGGTTTTTTACATGATCATGGAAAATACTATTCTGAATCTAATGAAGCACTTCTGTGCCGGTCAACATATTAGTTTTTACAAAGTAAGAGTCTGTGAGTTGGAAACGTGAGCATTTTTTTCTTTCCATGTTATTTGGTATAGTTATTAATATTAATTGGAAAGTAATTGTTACGAAGCAAGTAGTGAATAGATTCACCTGCCCTTTTCACATGTGCCTCATAGGATGGCATTGGCCAGTGATTAGCATTCTTGCAGAGATGCAGATGTTGGTTGTTCTGATGCTGTGTTGGCATATTATTCCTATTAGCATAGGACTATTAAACAGTTTTTACAAATGTAATGGGAAAATGTATGTTTGGGGAGCAAAGGTGTCAGTAGGGCTTATCAAATGCAGATGACTACTTTGGAGAGCCCTGTTTCAGATGAGGCCTGCAGAAAAAAAAAAATGTTGGTGCCGGAAACTGTAGGAGAACTTGAGAAGAACTGCAGTTGGGGTTTGTGCAGGCTGAAGAAAGCATTTGATGACAAGCCAGCTGCAGGATGTTGACACAGGGGCTGTGTTCGCCTGGGTGTTTAGAATTGCCTTCTGAGTAGAATTTTAGAGCTGTTCCCTGGTTCTCTTTAAGTATTTGATTATATCTTTTTGGATCAATAATTTTTTAAAACAGGCTTCCTAAATTAATGCCTTCCTGCTGCATAAAAAGCTGTTCTTTTTTCTTTGGTAAATTGGGGAAAGCGCATTGAAAGGTCATCGTTTCTCCTGTGACTTTTATATGAAGGTATGTTTTTCTTCCCCTGTAGTTTAGATGGGCAACATAAAAACTGATTGATAATCAGCTAGTTATACAATGTACTTTAAAGTCACTGTAGCTCTCAACATTTCTCTTATTTTGAAATTAATGGTGGAAGAATTTGTGTAATGTATTCTTTTCTGTGTTTTCCTATGTAATATTAATTGGTAAAAGCATTATTGGGAAACAGAGTAATGAAAGCATGGAAGCTTAGTGGAGTTTGGGGAGAATAATTAAAATGTGTTGTACTAGATTTTTTCCTCAAGATAGGTGGCAAGGCAGCCTTTCCTTGGTCAAGTTTATTAGAAACGTATTTCAGATGTTGTAGAGAATGTTTTATGTTTATATAGCATTTCTGGAAAGCCATCTGAAAATAGTTATCAAAATTAAAAATACATATGGCCTTTGATCTCACAGTCCCAATTCTGATAATCTATCCCGTAGAACTAAAAGCACTGGTTAGTAAAATTGCCTGTGTGTATAAGTATATGTGTATGTGTGTGTGTGTGTGTGTGTGTGTGTGTGTGTGTGTGTGTGTATATGTCTATAAATATATTTATTGCTTCATTGTGTATTGCATCTAAACATTGGAAACAGGCCAGATGCGGTGATCTCACATATGTAATCCCAGCACTTTGGGAGGCCGAGGTGGGAGGATTGCTTGAGACCAGGAGTTCGAGACCAGTGTGGGCAACATAGTGAGACCCCACTACTTTTTTCTATTTAAAAAAAAAAAGCCAGATGTGATGGTGCACCCCTGTTGTCTCAAGTAGCGGGAGGCTGAGACAGGAGGCTCTCTTGAGCCCAGAGGGTTGAGGCTGCAGGGAGCCATGATGGCACCACTGTACTCCAGCACGGGTGACAGCACAGGTTTCAAAAGAAACTCTGGAAACAAAGTGAATGACCTTCAGTAGTGGAACAGGTAGATAAATTACAGTGCATTCACTTTCTGCAGCAATATAATTAAAAGTGAGCTAGACCAGTTGTGTAAGAGGGATCTGTATGATGTAACTTAGGAAAAGGCAAGTTTAGAGAAATATTTGTAATAAGATTTCATAGTTTTAAAACACAAGGCATTTCTATTGTTGCTTTTGCCTTCACACATACCAACCAAGCTGCCCACCTTGGCTTGTGAAGATTCGAAAGTCACAGGATGATTAGAAGGAAAAAAGTAAAGTGATGAAGACAGGTATCATAGAGCCAGTTTTCCGTTTATGTATGTGTGTATGTGTTTGTATATGAATGTATTAAATATATGCATCAAGATAGGTCTACACAAATCAAAATATTAATGGTGGTTATCTTGGGTATTGGTATTATAGTACTGTTAGGGTTTTTTCCTTGATTTTTCTCTATTTGAATTTTTTCAAGCACTCTATGTTTATGTAATGTGAAAGGAGAATAAAACTTTTCATACAGTGGGGGGACAAAAGCACAGTGATGTCCAGTTTTCCATTTTGTGTTATCAGTATTCTAATATAAACCTCAAAGTTTTAGTGAAATCTGCTAATTCACCCAAATAGAGTTCATAGTTTGAAATGTAATATATTTTAAGATCTAGAAGATATGTCTGGCTCTGTGGTAGTAATTCATACTGAAAGCATATAGCTAAATGTTTCTTTTGTGTTGACACTCTAAGACATTGTTTATTAGCATTAAAAATACTTTGGATTGTGGAATTTTTGTTTAAAAGTGCGTAAATACCAAACAGAAAACAAAGGACTTAAAGACTAATAGATTGAACCACCTAAGAGTGAAAACTTCTGTTATCAATGCTTACCATAAGTGAAATCAAAAGACAAAAAATGGAGAAAAATTGGCAAGCATAAAGGCATACTATTTGTGTGTGTGATCAATAAGAAAAAGTAATTCTTTTTTTTTTTTTGAGACGGAGTTTCGCTCTTGTTACCCAGGCTGGAGTACAATGGCGCGATCTCGGCTCACCGCAACCTCCGCCTCCTGGGCTCAGGCAGTTCTCCTGCCTCAGCCTCCTGAGTAGCTGGGATTACAGGCACGCGCCACCATGCCCAGCTAATGTTTTGTATTTTTAGTAGAGACGGGGTTTCACCATGTTGACCAGGATGGTCTCGATCTCTTGACCTCGTGATCCCACCGCCTCGGCCTCCCAAAGTGCTGGGATTACAGGCTTGAGCCACCGCGCCCGGCAAGAAAAAGTAATTCTGTAGAAAATGGAATTAAAAAAACAAAAAGAAAAACCACAGATAAAAAATAGCCAAGAAACATGAAAATATGTTCAGCCACAGTAGTCATCCATGTAAATTAAAACAACAGTTACACATTGCTGATGAGAATATAATTTGATAGTCTTTCTGAACAATAGTTTGTGGTGGGGGGGGGGTGTGTATGTGTGTATGTAAATGAAGAGAGAGAGAGTGAGCCTTATATAGGTATACCCCTGAACCTAGTAATTCTACTTCTAGGAATTTGTTATGATTTAGCTAATTAGGAACATCTTTTCGAAGAATGCATATACAGTGATATTTATCATGCAACTGTCTATAATGGCCAAAATGAGGGGGAAACTGTAAATACACAACAGATTAAATTGGTATAGTTACACTCTTGAGTCCTGTGTCATGCCAAATCATGTGATTGTGTATTTATGTGGAATATTAATGAAGAATTAATTTGCAAATAGGATGTATAGTATGCTTTCTACTTTTATAAAAAATATTTATAGAGCATTGTATAGAAAAATGACTAGAAGAATAGATATCAGAAACATTTACAGTGACTGTCCCTGGGTGATGGTCAGCGATTTTTATTTTCTTCATATTGTTTTAGCATGCTGATATAAACCCCAAACTTTTAATGAAATATACTACCTACATACATTTCTCAGTTTACAAATACAATATATAATTTTCTTTCTACAGTGAACATGTGTTACTTTTATAATTAGAAAAAAATTGTATTGGCCTCGTTCATTTGAGACATTAAGAAAAAGCCAAACAACCAACCACATGGAAATTACACACAAAAGATTTCTCCAAAGTTAAAGAGGAAGAGGAGGATCAAGGTAGTGAACATTTATTAGGCACTAATTGTAGGCCAGTTCTTTACATACATTGTTTCAAGTAAGCCTTGATTTACTACTTTAGCAAATATATATCGGACACCTCTTCCTGTGTTACAGTCACAACAGAGAGTCCTTTTTGCAGAAAAAGAAATAGTCTCAGAGACGTGACCTTTGAGATCACACAGCTAGTTAAGTGGAAAGTCAAGAATTTAAATGCAGCTGGAATTGTCAGGATCCTCTCAATTTACTGTTGACACGAAGCTCAAATGACTGATGGACCAGAGGTCACCATACTGTCACTAGAAGTGGCAGAACCCAAAAGAATGTGCATCTAATTCCAGATTTTTGGATTCATCAGCCGCCTCCTCTCTCCTCACCCTGGGGCAGCATACACCAGAGGTTGTAGAACTGCTTGGGGCTGCTTTGCTGCATTATCCTATGCAGATGTGTGCATTTCTCTGTAAGCCCAGGCTTGCGGTTTTTTAGTTACCCCTTGGTTGGCCAGGTGGTCAGATTTTATGGGAAGGGACAATTTGTATCATAGTCTTAGGGTGTCCCCATGATTGCAGCGGGGAGAGTTTTAGTTAATTGCTCACCCCTGTGGTACCGCCAGATATACTTTGCTAGTATGATTTCTCCATTTTCTGGTGAGTGCCTGTGAATTTTTGAAGTATTCAAATGGTCATCAGGCTAAAAGTTTCTTTTACATTACTTGACTTCACAACTCAGCAAATAAGCTTTTTAGCTAGCTCAAGAGTGTCTTTTTCTCCCAGATAAACAATGATGTACCCTGCATATTAAAGGGCAGAGCTGAACACTGAAGTCAAGAACCCTTAATTATATGCAAAATGTTTTCAGTCAAATCAATTGGCATATGCACAGATATCAAATTGAGGTTGGCCTTTGGAAACCTCACAGCACAACATTTCAGAAATCTTCTGCATTCAGCAGAATCTCCTGAAATGTTAAACCCAAACCAGAGAGAAAACTCTTGTGATCTTACAAAAGGTTCCTTGATTCTTTGAATTGTATTTGGGATAAGGGAAAAGAAAAGGAGTTGGAATGCGGGAAGATAGATATAAGTGATAGAAGAATGCAGTCTGGTAGAAGAATGGGGAAGCATAGATTAAACAATGGACATTTGTAAAAACAAAAATGAAGTGGAACAGCAGTATACAGAATCTGGCAAATAAGTGATGTAAAATCCAGTATCAAAGATAAAGACAGCTTTTCCCCTCTGCTTCCTGCAGTATAAATGGTGGGTACATTTTCGTTTTCTCTTGTCATTCATTTGTTGCACCCAGCTTTTTGGAGTTGGATTTATAATAAATGATGAAGAATGTTGTTTTGACTGGTTAACGAATTTTAATTTCACAAATTGTGAGATTCATTTTGGGATCCCGCTAAATTTTACTGAATTCCTTTCACATCACAGTCTTGTTCCTCATGTTTTACAGTGTTTTGTCTTTGCTTTCCTACTGACACTTGTTTTCTAATTTTCACCCTCTTCTCTTTGGTCCCTCATCCTAGAATCTGCAGCCAGTGTTTGTAACTTCCTGATCAGAAACCATGAAAACAATATATTCATTTACCAATTGATTCATCCAGTGTTTGGGTACTAACTATATACCAGGTATCAGGGGAATAAAGAGCAATGAGAAGCAAGTTCCTTACTCTCAAGGAGCTTACAGTTTAACTTAAAAGTGTTCTCCTATTTAAGGCCAGCAAGTGGCTCACACCTGTAATCCCAGCACTTTTGGGAGGCTGAGGCAGGAGAATAGTTTGAGGACAGGAATTTGGGACCAGCCTGGGCAACAAAGTGAGACGCTGTCTCTACAAAAAAAAAATTTTTTTGAAACTTAACCCGGCACAGTGATGCGTGCCTGTAGTCCAGCTACTCAGAAGACTGAGGCAGAGGGATTGCTTGAGCCCAGGAGTTCAAGGCTGCAGTCAGCTATGACTGTGCCACTGTACTCCCACCTGAGCGACAGAGCAAGACCCCATCTCTTTAGGGAAAAAAACAAAAACAAAACAGAAGCAGCAACAGCATCCTTACAGATAGATATACACTAATCTATACAAGTCTGAATCAAAACCAAGATGAATTTGTAGGATAAATACATTTATTTCATGGAAAAACTCCATCAGATAAATTTTTAGGCACTTGGAGTTAACAGTGATTTTGTAACGTTGTGCTTTGCAACTGCAAAGATGAATACGTAGTCTAAGTTAAAACATTTGACTCTTGAACAGTGTGGATTAACTGAAGTGGTATTCACTTTTTAAAAATCAGCTTTATATTTAGAACCATTTTAGCTTCACAGCAAAACTGAGTGCATAGTATGGAGAGGTTCTGTGTAAACTGCTGTTCACACACACACAAACTCTCTCCTATTGTTTTCCCACACCAGAGTGGCTTGTTACAGCTGATGAAGGGACATTGACACGTCATTATCACTGAGTCCGTAATTGACCTTAGGGGTTTGCTCTTGGTTTTTATGTTCTACAGGTTTTGACAAATGTATAACGACAGGTTTCCACCATTGTAGTCTCATATACACTTTTTTTTTTTTTTTGCTTCTAAGTACTGTACATTCTCTTCAGTTCTAGAAGTATAGTGTATTGTATTACTGATGTCAGGAGCTAGGAGGGTGTACAGATTATTAAAGAAAAATGTCAGGAAAGGCTGCATTTGAAATTAAGGCTAGGTTCTTGGAAAATATTAGCAAGCTGAATCAAGGCGTAAATCTCTTACTTTCAGGAACACATCTCATCTTTCGTGCAAAGCGAGGTAGGGCTGTGCTTGGTATTTGTTCAGTGGGATCCTGTGAGTCATAAAGCACACGGATCACCTAGATTCTTTAATCTTCTTTCCTGCCTGCCTTTCAGAAAAAGTTCAGGATTCAGTAAGCATTTATTATTTATTTATTTTTAGTTTTTGAGACAGAGTGTTGCTCTGTCACCCAGGCTGGAGTGTAGTGGTACGATCTCAGCTCACTACAACCTCTGACTCCCGTGTTCAGGCAGTTCTCCTGCACAGCCTCCCAAGTAGCTGGGATTACAGGTGCACACCATCACGCCTGACTAATTTTTTGTATTTTAGTAGAGGTGGGGTTTCACCATGTTGCCCAGGCTGGTCTAGAGGCCCTGAGCTCAGGCAATCCAGCTGCTTCAGCCTTCCAATGTTCTAGGATTACAGGCGTGAGCAACAGTGCCCAGCCTTAGTAGGCATTTATAAACACCGATTATGCGCCAGGCATGGTAGCAAGGAGTAAGAGCTTGGGATATAGGGAAAGTGAGATAGTTTCCATGTCTGTCAGGGGCCCACGTCTATCAAGCAAGGGAGAAAGTCCTGGAAACAGTTATCAATCTGTGTGGTGGGGGGAGTTAAGAACACAATGTCTGTGCCTTTCAGCCAGGTGGGACCCAGAGCTCTGCTTCACAAGACAAGTGATAAATGACGTTTAAGCTAAACTGAAGATAGCCAGCCCTGCCTGTCTGAAAACAGCCCTAGGAAGAGATCCCCTAATAGACCTGCCCTTTAGACTATTAACTCAAAGCCTCTTTTTTTTTTTTCTTTTTTTTTGGGGGTGGAGTCTTGATCTGTTGCCTAGGCTGGAGTGTACTGGTGCAATTTCAGCTCACTTTAACCTCCGTCTCCCAGGTTTAAGGAATTTTCCTGCCTCAGCCTCCTGAGTAGCTGGAATTACGGGTGCCCGCCACCACACCCAGATAATTTTTTTTATTTTTAGTAGAGATGGGATTTCGCCATGTTGGCCAGGCTGGTCTTGAACTCCTGACCTCAGATGATTGGCCTGCCTTGGCCTCCCAAAGTGCTGGGATTAGAGGCATGAGCCACTGCACCCAGCCAAATCAAAGCCTTTTGTCTGTAGTTCTCATGGTGCTTGAAACCTTTGTGACCAAAAAGACATATATTATGAGTATAGTGGGTGGTATGTGCTTAGGAAAAGAAAAACTCACTGAAGACTGGGTAAAGCTAGTTTTTTCCTATGGAATCCAAATGTTAGAGCCAGAGGATCCGGGGCCCATTCAGTCCAACCTCTTCACATTAGGCAGAGGGACCTGAAGCCAGGGGGTTGGTGGTTTGACAAACCCAGGTTACCACTAGTCCCAGCCCCGAGCCAGAGCAGACCCAAATTTCTTGGATTCTGGTGGGCGGGCGGGGTACATTCCACAGCCTTGAGCTGCCCCAAGGGGCCTGGAGATTTGCTTAAGAACAATATGAAGCCGTTATCAAAAAGCTGTGAAAAGCTCTAGGCTTTGTCATCATCTAAGATGGGATTAAATATGACCTTGTGACTTTGGGTGAGTTATTTAACTTTTCTAAACTTATTTTTCTTTTCTATAAAATGGAGACAAATTTCATATCCACCAGTGGAACTGCTCTGCAGACTTTTTGAGATCCTGTGTGTAAAATGCCCGTGATATTCCTGATCTTAGGATAACTGCTGGAGAGATGTTCTCATTCTCATTCCTATGGCATCTTTTGCCTACATAGCAACCATATGATTCCAATGGACTGGTGAAATGGAGGAGATTTGGTAAAGATCCTGTCTAAGCAGCTTACCCTTTACATTTTTTTAAAAAGCAGGTATAGAATATCTTCTAATTGCAGTTCTTGAATCCAGTGTCTCCCTATTTTGAATGTTGGTAGTTTAAGCCCATTATCCTTCCTGCTTTACTTTTTAATTTATTTGTATCAGTTTAACAGGTAGTATTTTTTTAAGTTCTCATATGCTTACAGGTATATGAAACATTAATATACTGTGGTCCCTTTCTCCAGCAATACATGTACCTCAAGTGTTCGAGATGGCGTTATTTTGCAAAGTATTTCAATTCTTTCCAGTAATAACCTTGCTTGTTATCCAAGTATTTCTTCCATATCCGTTTATGTCACATTCAACACTTTTAGTTGCCTTTTGTAACTGTTAAAGTTTTCTAGTTTTTTCCCAAAATGGTCTGTATTGTGGCATGACATTTTGATGCCACATACTCAAAGTAGAGCAAACCTTCAAATGTCTAATTCTGAAAAGATCAACAAAGGAAGTTTTTAGTAAACATTTTCCCTGTGGGGTGAGTAAAGTATTTTTGCATTTTATTCATAGCTGATTACTTAGGAAAAAAAATTACACGTTTCTTTTCCTGCCTGTCCTTCTGGCGCCCCATGTTTCTGTAGTAGTGATCTCAGTAGGGTTTCTAGCCTGAAAAAAATAGGTCCCACTTTCTATGTCCAGCTAAAACATGCTTTCACAATAGCATTAGTTTGTATCCAGAAAAAAGAAACTACTAGATTTGAAATTTAGCACAGTTGCACCCATATTAAAAAACTGATGGTGTTTAATAACAGTATTCTTATCTACTGTCTCTCATTCCATGCCTGGGCAAAATGGGTTTTAGTTTTTCAAGTGGGCAGGCCAGCTATACTTTCTGCCTTTCCAAGTAGTCACTTGGTTAAAGGCCACATTTCCAAAATTCAAGCTATGACATCAGGTCTTTTATTTGGTGGAGCATATTCTTTCAGAAGACGTTTATATCAAGGCTAAAGACTCTTAAGTTTACCAATGTAGAATCTAAATTGGTTTTAGCAGGTTATTTTCTTGTCAAAGCAGTCTGTCTGTCTTTGCTTTGGAATAGGGAGATGAAAGGCATCCTTTAGAGATCCTCCGGGTGCCAAGAAAAGTCTGAAATTGCTCTAGGAAGAATTGTTACCAACCCACAATAGTCAACAATAACGTTGAAGAAGTTCCTTGAAAAGACAAATATTAGTCGCTTGAAATATGGAGCCTTTTTTGTTAAGGACTGATGGAAGACCAGCGCTTTGTGCCTAAACATTATTCATGGGCTTAAGTGCTTTGGGATTATTCCCAGCTGTCCCCCGTGGATTTGTGGAGGTGAAGGCATCCTGTTGCAGAGGAAAGAAGTACTGCATTGCCAACAAAGTTGTCTCTGCCAGCTGTCTGTGGTGTGGTTGGTGCTTCTGAGAATGTTTTGTTCCACTTGAAGGCCTGAGTTCTGCAAAGTAAGACACAGATGTGCGATGTGTCAATCACAGTATTAGATGTTGGGGCAGATAGAAAGCAAAATAAAATATGGCCCTAGAACCAAAGTATACATTAAATGCTGAACACTGCTCTTGGCCCTGTTGGGAACCAGGAGAGGCTTCTTCAAGCTTAGGGAGTTTAGAATCTAATTGGCAAATCATTTAGGACTCTTATTTTTAAAGTCAGTTTTGAAAGTGACATAAAATAACTCAAACTGACTAGATCAGAAAAAGAACTTCTCATGTAAAAAAAAAAATCTAGTTGTAGTTCTACCTGGAGTCTCTCATAGTTTACCATGGCCTGACTCTTTCTTTTTTCTTTGCTTTTTTTTTTTGAGTTGGAGTCTCCCTCTTGCCACCCAGGCAGGATTATAATGGCACGATCTTGGCTCAGTGCAACCTCCGCCTCCTGGGTTCAAGCTGTTCTCCTGCCTCAACCCCCTGGGTAGCTGGGGATTATAGGCACCTGCCACCACGCCCAGCTAATTTTTGTACTTTTAGTAGAGACGGGGTTTTGTCATGCTGGCCAGGCTGGTCTCGAACTCCTGACCTCAGGTGATCCATCCGCCTCAGCCTCCCTAAGTGCTGGGATTACAGGGGTGAGCCACCACACCTTTATTTGTACCCTTGTAGCAGCAAGATGGTCTCAGCAGCTCCAGCCTTACCGTTCAGCACTGAGTCCAGCAAGACAGTCTCTCTTCCCTTAACAGTGGAATAAAAGTCTTAGGCCTGACTGTCCCTGCCCCAAATTGGGTCATGTGTCAGTTGCTGAAGCAGCTGCTGTGTCCAGGAAAGTGGAAAGTGCTTATTTTGGGGGCACAGTTCCTGTTTCCCACTTCTGTAGCTGGACTGGAAGTCCGATAGGGGCTGGTGCCCCAGGTGGGAACACGGGACACTAACCAGAAGGAGCAGAGTAGATGTGGAGGAGCGGGCACAGCCAGTGTCCCTCACACGGAGACAGAACTCATCCACAAGGAAACAATAACATGACATGAAACACTTAGGAGCAATTCTATGTTATTTCATCAAATGTGCCACAGGAGTTGTGAGGAGGACGGCAGCAAGGTCTGGGGTCATTGAGGCATTAATGCTCTGCAGAGCAGATCGGTATGAACTTGACCCTTAAGGGCTGGTGGATTCTTGGTTTGACTCTCCCAAAATGCTAATGAGAGAATGCCTGGAGTCAAAATTGATGCCCACTCTAGCCCTTTGTGCCCCTCCAGTGGAATGATGCAACACCACACCACCATACAACACACCCAGCCCTTAAGGCTGACACACAGGAACCCAGAAATCTGCCCTTGCACAAATCATGGATGTGCTAAAAAGCCAGGGCATGCTTCAGCAGCAGCCAATAAGTAAGCGAATTACGGTATAAATGCCTGTCGGAATATTTTCTAGCCATCCAGCCATGTTTACATTGTAATAAGTAGTTGTTGAGTACCTACTTATTAAAATATTTGGAAGAATTTTTAAATGAGAAGCTGAACTGCAGAATTGTTTACAGGATGAATGTGGCCATCTGCAAGTGACTTAGAACACAAAAGCCTAGAAGGAAATACATCAGAAAGATATGTGGTTGTCTCTGTTCTTTATGCTTACCTGTAATTTTAGGACAAATGTAAAAGACCGCGCAGCTGTAAATTGGCTAAATCAAGAGACAGCATTTGAAACATGGGGCGTCAGGCTTGTGCAGGGAAGAAACATAAATTATCACGGCTCTGGAAGGTGGGGCAGAATTCACAGTGGCCTCTACCTCCTGCGGAGGGCTCCAGCCCTGAAGATCTCATCTCCTGCACGGCTGCATAGACAGGCATCAGTGCCTCTTACACTGGGTTAAGAACTTCAGCCTTTCTTAAAAATCTTCAGACCTCTGCTTCTGCCTTAGAGATGGTATTTTGCAAAATGTTTCAATTGGGTCAAATTGTTACTTTTCCATCTGGTGGTATCCCAGGGCTTATATCAATTTACCGTGTGTACTGCTCCCCCACCCCCCTTGAGGCAGCATTTCCTTTTTAAATTTTTTTCTTATTTTTAATTTTCTTTTTTTAGAGACAGAGTCTCACTTTGTTGCTCAGGCTTGTTTCAAACTCCTGGCCCCAAGTGGCCCTCCTCCCTTGCCTTCAAACGTGCTGGGTTTACAGGATGTGCCACTCTCCAGGCCCCAAGTGGTCCTCCCCCTTTGCCTTCAAACGTGCTGGGTTTACGGGATGTGCCGCTCTCCTGGTGCAACGTTTTTTCAGTCCGCTCATTTCTGTCCCTTGCATTTTCCTTGGGTAAAGCCCCAGGCCCACTTTTGCTGTACCCTTCCTCTTTGATTTGCTTTAATTTGAGCTTTCACAGGTCAAACCTTTCATGGGTTTCAAAGCAGTCTCCCACATCTCATTTGCTACCTTGTGATTTAGCTGGATGAGGCCATCATCCCTATTAAAACATGTTAGGGGAGGGCTCAGAGGCATTAACTTGCCCAGAATTAACCCGGGTTCCCTAACTCCAGCTGGCAGGACTTCCCCACAGTGACCAGCAACAGGACCAGACCCTTCCTTAGGAATGGACGTTTGACTACCCGCAAATCACTTAAAGCTCACATGTACACAACTCCTTTGAAAGAAAAAGATTGAAATGTAAGGCTGTGTAAGATTTGTTTTAAACTGTACAGCGTCTTTTTTTGTGTAGTTAACACACTACCGAATATGTCTTTAGATAGCCTTGTTGTGGTGGTATTTTCAGTAGCCACTAACCTCGCCTGGTACAGTATGGGGGTTGTAAACTGGCATGGAAATTTAAAGCAGGTTCTTGTTGGTGCACAGCACAAATTAGCTATCTATGGGGATGGTAGTTTTTTCATCTTCCGTTGTCTCTGCAGCTTATACGAAATAATTGTTCTGTTAACTGCATACCACTCTATAATTTAAAAAAAAAAGTTGCAGCTGTTTTGTTATTTGTTAGAAGCAACATTCTGAATGCTTCTAAGTAAATACAGTTTACAGTTTTTTTAAATTAAAAACACACACAACTCACCTGTCTCTGGAGACATCGGAGACAGCTTCCCTAGCACTGTTGGGTCTTGTTAACCCTTTCCCTCCTGTTGTCTTTTTGATCCTGATAGCTTAGCCCAAGTTAAGAACACCTTTCACAGATGTTGTTATTAAGATTCTCCCATTTTTAGTTGTTTGTATTTATGCTTTGGATCATTTACCTTCTGTAAGCATCTATTTTTACACATCTTTTTTTCTTTGCACGTGGCAAATTCTTGGAAGGTGAGAGCTGTGTTTCCCATTTCCTTAGTGGATTTTTCTCCTAAGGGGAAGTTTAATCAGAGTGAGTGTCCAGCCGACCTTGAGGAAATAAAATAATTCAACTTTGAAGAACATTTTCATAGCGTTTTAAAAAATAATTATGAGATTAAATTTTCCTGAAAAATTTGCGGAAACATCTGTTTTTCAAAATTAAGTTGGAAATATTAATGGCCTTGGGCATCTGTGGTCAGCAAAGCCATTTCCATTCCAGATCCCCTCACTGCAGGGTTTCCTTTCGTCCATTTATTAAATGTAAGCCTTGTAGCAAAGAGGGACGCTGCTGCGTTTGCCGAAAAGCCACTGTTCACAAAATGCGGGTACTTCAGAGACAGCAGCTGTTTCCTCTCGGCATTGACACCAATCTGCAGATTGCCAGTTGTTCAGAACACAGACCTTTCCCAAATCTGTGCTAACTTTATGATGGAGTCTCACTCTGTCGCCCAGGCAGGAGTACAGTGGTGTGATCTCAGCTCACAGCAACCTTTGCCTTTTGGATTCAAGCAATTCTCCTGCCTCAGCTTCCGAGTAGCTGGGATTACAGTAGAGACAGGATTTCGCCATGTTGGCTGGGCTGGTCTCGAACTCCTGGCCTCAAGTGATCCACCTACTTTAGCCTCTCAAAGTGCTTGGATTACAGGCATGAGGCACTGTGCCGGGCCCCAAATCTCCACTAACTTTAGGTGTGTTGGACGGACCTAGCAATTATGGAAATCCCAAAGCACCAGGGCCTGCCTCCTCCCTTCTGTCTGCCTCCTGGGCCTTCCCTGTGTGCATCTGCTGAATTGAATCATTAAGAGAAAGATTAAGATGGGTAGAAAGTGAGCCTGTTGTTGATGACAGTTCACTTTCCCTAGTGAAACTGTCAGGAAGACAATGGGATGTAGAAGTTTCAGAGTAAGGGACCCAGGGTCTTAGGGGATCCCACAGTATAATACTGGGTAGAAAGAGGCGGAGGAGAGGGAAGGAAGTGGCCTGGCTTGGCTGCTGTGCACTGTTTTCATTTCCTTATCTCCCACGCACTACCCACCATCTGAGGCAAGAGGGGAGGAGCTTTTCCCTTTTCCATATACTCTTTATCTGTTCTTTGGAACTATTTTTCTTACAGTTGTCTTTGGTGGAGTGGCTCTTAGTGTACAATATGAGTCATACCCCCATGGACGGTCCTTTCTCATAAATACTTTTCTTTTTTTTTTGAGACACACTGTTGTCCAGGCTGGAGTGCAGTGGCACCATCATAGCTTACTGTAAACTCAGCCTCCTGGGCTCAAGCCCTTCTCCCTCCTCAGCCTCCTGCATAGCTGGGACTGTTAGGTGTGTATCAACACTCCTAGCTTATTTTTGTGTTTTTTTGTAGAGATGGGGGTCTCACTATGTTGCTCAGGCTGGTGTTGAACTCCTGGGCTCAAGTGGTCCTTCAGCCTCAGCCTCCCAAAGCTGTGGGCTTATAGGTGTGAGCCACTGTGATGGACCCCTCATAAATATTTCAAGCAGCGCTGAATCAGAACAAGGAGGAGCGTTTTCAATTGGGAATTCATTGTGTATTTTTCATTGAGAACATATTTCTTTACTTACATGTTTATATAACCTGAGTTGCAAGATGAATTTATCACACAGTGATACACTTTAAATTTTTGGTTTTAATATGCATTTGCATATTTTAAAAGCAAATGTTACTTTTAGCCTGGGAAACAATATTCTAGATAATTATCAGAGGTACTTAAACTTTGTTTTCAGTTATGTCTTAGATTTACTATAACCACAGTGTTGATTACTATGAAGACATTGCTTTGCCAAGGGAGATGTCTCTCAAAATGTCACAGCTCAGTGGTTTATTATCAGGCAGTTGCTAAAGTGGATAGTTAAAAATTGAGGCCAGGCATGGTGGCTCACACTTGTAATCCCAGAACTTTGAGAGGCTGAGGCAGGCGGATCACTTGACAGGAGTTAGATACGAGCCTGGGCAACATGGTGAAACCTCATCTCTACTAAAATACAAAAATATTAGCCAGGTATGATGATGCACACCTGTAGTCTCAGCTACTTGGGATACTGAGGCAGGAGAATCACTTGGCTTGAACCCAGAGACGGAGGTTGCAGTGAGCCAAAACCATGCCGCTCCTCTCCATCCTGGGTGCCAGAGCAAGAGTCTGTCTCAAAAAAAAATTTTTCCTGTTATTTCATGAAAATTAATGGTTATTCAACTAATAAATTTGAATAAATTCAAATTTTTTCAGTTATTTCACGAAAATTAGTGGTTATTAACAAATTGAGCACTGTATCAGTTAGAGGGTTCAGTTATGTAATATAGAATCTACAGGAGCTGATTTAGACAGTAAGGCATTAAACATACTAGTGAGTGTTAATAGTGGCTCAGAGTCTCTCTGCAAA